AGCCCTTGCAGAGGGCACCCCATTTAAATGAGTGTTGAAACCACAGGGGTATTTTTGTCCGGTGCTTGCATATTGCCATCCAGAGGAGAGAATCACTCCAGGCTGGAGGGTGCAGCTCAATGCCAGATTCATACCGCTGTGAGCAGCCATCCAGCCAGGGCTATGCTTCCAGCAACTTGTGCTCTCAGCTGCTCCAGCACCAGGCCATCTGAAACATTATCCTGAGTAACTGGGATGTCAGGAAAAGCTACACTTGCCCTGGGGCTCACCACTGCTGGGGCTCACCACTGCTCGGCTGCACGCCAGCTGTGCACTCAAGGATGCTGGCAGCACAGGAGTGGAGCAGAGCAGGCAGAGGGGCTCTCACCCGCAGCAAGGGAGCTAAGGTGCCCTGGCAAAGCTGCCTTCCTCGGTGCTTTGTCCCTAGTCACAACTCGTTGCTAAAGCTGCTTTCAAACATGTCTGTCAAGCTGCAGGGGTGACTACCGCGGCTGGCACTCACACGTTACCGTGTGCCTGGGTCTAAAAATACAGTTAAAATTTTGCTCTTGAGGCGTATTGTAAAAATGTCAATTATAAGGGCTTTTGCACAATAGGGAAGCAGCTCCTGCCGGGCTGTAACTCAGTCCCTGCTCTGAGGAGTGCCTGCGTGCAGCACTCACAGGTGAGCTGGAAGGGGAGGCGGGATGGAAACCAACCACAGGCATTATAAATCACTGTGCTTTACAGGCAGATTACTTCTCCTTAGATCAGAGGAAACAAAGTACCCAGGAGGGGATGAAAATCTAGCTTTTGGGAGGTTATCATGGCTTTATCCCAGAACATCTGCCAACGCCGGTGTCAGCACGAGGCAACGAACACATGGCATGAATCCGGGAGTATGAAAGATGTGTCACTGCAAGAAGAGGTAGGAGAAAAACAAAGCAAACTGACAGCTGACATCCTGTGCCATAACCCCAGAAACTGTTAATATTTACTAAATTAACAACTAATATAACCGATGACAATCTCACTCCTCCTGGTTGTCATGAGGATATTAACAGTTCCCACCCGCTCCAAACTGGAAATATTATACCCATCTCCGGAGCTCCTGCTGCTCAGCACACGTGGGGACGGCACAGACTCACCCTCTCGGCTTTCGTACCAGCACTGAGCCATGCGCCAGCATTGCCGGGGCTGGAAATGCCTCCTGACCTCACTTTGCTCCTCTGGCAGAGCAGGAGAAAGGTTTCTACCTCTTCCCAGAGGCAGAGCCCAGCACCCAGCCCTGTGTGTGCTGGGGAGAGCCTGGAGGAGGAGGATGGAGGGGATGGATACAAGGTGCTGGAGGAAGGAGAGGCGAGGGCCACACTGGCTCTGATCACACCTCCAAACAAGCTGCCATCTCAGGAGAAGTGCCCATGCTGCTGGTGTGATTTGCAGCTCTAAGGCTGGCAGCTAATTGATGAACAGATGCTACAGTGTCATTTCCTTAATAGGAAAGACCTGTTTAAATCCAAACTAAAGATGCTTGAATACCAGTGACTCAATGGGAAACGTATTTCCAGACTAACAATCATAAAAAGGTAAAACTTTGGAATCTGCATTGTTGCCCACAATTTTTTTTCAGATAAGAAGAAAAACAACAGCAGTGCCCAAGTTCCCAGAGCTGAGATTGGTTTTGGTTGTGGAGTGTTTGGTTTTTTAAACTGTTACCTGTCTACTAGGAGGAGTGCAGGAGGCAATACAGGGTTAACAGGCACTGTAAGTACAAGTAAACCGTGGATAGTGCCTGCACATGCGGGATTTCTGCCTTCATTTTGCCCTATCCTTAGCAAGGCGCATTAATTCCCCAGGCCACTCTCTGCAATGGCACAGCATATTCGTAATTTCAAAAAGTTTTCTTTGTCATGGTGCACTGTATGCAAAAACATTACCAAACTCTTTCCAGCTCACTGTATGCAAAATTAAACTAGAGAATTACTTGCATTGTTGTTTTCAACAAGCTCCCAGGTGCTGGAAAGCTGTAAAAAGCAACTTTCCTTCTCACAGGAATCATTTCCTCCCCTTGATAGTGGCACAGTGTTGGCTGTGCGAGAGGTTGGCCCAAAGAGGCAACCTGGAACAGTGACAGGGAATGAAGGGATGGCAAAATAGTCCTCTCAAGGCATCCTGCGATCAGGAAATCTCAGTGTCAGCCAGGCCAGTGACATGGCACTGACCAGAGGAGCAAAGAGCTGCCTTTACAGAGCTCTGTGCTCCAGTGCACAACACAATTGCTTGCCTTGGGGCAGCACCCAAGGGATCACTGGAAGGAGCCTCAGTTTGATGGATCCACTGGAGAAATGACCATTGGGACTATGAGAGGGACCATCACGAGCTGCGATGCTCATTAACTGGTTCACTGCAGTAGGACACAGCAGCCCCTTTCCTTCAAATACAGTGGGGAAATCAGTGTGTCCCAGTAACACGAAACGAGTCATTTTTAAATACTAAAAAAGCACCAGCTCTAGAGAACAGATACCTAAAAATCATCAAACTCATGTTCAAACTGTTGGGTAGCTTGCTCTAGGAAGCTGGTACCTTTTTAAAAACACTAAAACATTAGCATATTACATCCCAGCTGGTTTGCTTTTCTTCCCCATGTCTTTTACCCTGCCCTGAGCCTCTGAAGAGCACCCCTTTCCCCCGTTTTGTTTCTGTTTGTAAAGCTTTATACGTTTCATTTTTTCCCATCATCTTCTCAGATCATTATCTTTTTATCTTTCACCTTTTTTTTTCAAGACACTTCTTTTCTCCCCATCTGCCACTATCTCCAGTACAATACTTCTCCCATTAGGATTTCTTTTATCCTTATTATCTTATGCCTTTCACTTGTTCTTCCCCAGACCCTTCATCCTGCTTTTGCTTGTCAAAACTGTGTTTCTTCCTCCTTCAGGGGGGAAGAAGTGGGAAGGTTGGGTGGATTTTTTTGCTATGAACGAACACCCAGGAATGCTCCTCTCAATACTTGGAAACCCTGCAGAGGAGAGCTTGCATGAGTCCTTCAACACTTTCAGTTAATGGCAGTCTGACTAATGCCTGAAAATCAGCAGCTTATTTTAACGTGGTGCTGTAGCTTCCCACCACCACCACAAGCCTTGCCCAACAAGCTTTTATTTTTATATTAGAGACTCTACTCCATGCTTTGAAATCCCTGTAGCCCCACAGCGACTCCTCTCTTTATAAACACCAAGACACAGAGCAGGTGACAGACACAGTCTTGGACACCACCAGATGCTTTTATCTCTGGCTGGATTTGTGTTTATATCAAAGGAGAGCCATACTGCTCACAGAAAAACATGTCCAAGGGTACCCAGGGAGATTTCAGAGGAGCGGTGAATCCAGTTTAGCTGGAAGCCAGCATATGTAAAACATCTTCAAGCCTGAAATTAGGGGTCTATCCACAGCTGCCAGAATCTGTCAGAAGAGCAGCAGGTCAGCCCTGTGGGCACTGCCACCCCATAGCATTCAGTGCCAGCAGAGGATACTGGGGGAAGGATCTAGAGCCTCTTCCCAATAGATGTGCCCTTGCTATTTATTTTGTTCCAAAAAGGAATCTGCAATGGTAGTCTGGGGATCCTCTGACATTTCACTGGCATTTCTTCAGGGCTTTTTGAAGCACGATTATTACTGTCATTAGGTACCCTCACGTGTTAATGCCAGCACTAGATTTAATTGTGTGCATTCCAGCCAGGGGCCAGTTTTTGTTGCGAATTCTTAACATGTACCCAACCTAGTGCCTTCAAGGGCCTGTTTCAGTTGGACCTGTTCCCCTAGACAGATAATTTAGGAGGTCTGGAAAATCCTCTGCAGAGCTTGTGACAGATAGAACTGACTGTTTCTGACAAGTCTACCATTTTTACTTATTTCCATCTGCCTATCAAGACTGCCTCATTCTTCTCAAGTACCAAAGACCACTTAAAATGTGTCTAAAGCTTGATGCCAACTTCCTGCTTGCCAATTTAAAAAATCTGTTGCAAAATATATGTCAATACATTTATTCCCAGACTAAGGCAGTCATGTATTACTTAAATGCTGGGGTAATCTTAAATGCGATCAAGAGGCTGGAGCTGATAACAGAGACTTGAGACACAAAATGGCTTTTTTAGAAAATATAATTTCTAGCATGAGATATTTTAAACCTTTTCTTCTCTCACTGAACACCACGGGCCTGTTTTGGCAGTCTGGGTGTATTTCCTGGCTTGCTGTCCGGATGGCAGCCGAAACTCGGTGATGGGTTGCTCAGGCATGAAATTCATAAAATTGGAAATCAAGGGCAGGAAGGTCCTGGCACGAGCAATCTAGGTATGAATAACTGTTCTTGTTCCTTGAGTTTCCTGGTTAGCTTCTCCTCTGCTACGACTAAAACTGTTTGGAAATCACTGTCTGTAGATTTTAGGGTTTTCTTCCCCGTCAGTTAAGACCTGAAGCTATTTGAGATGTTAAACAATTTGTGGCTTCTGAGCTTAGTTATGGTGCTGGCTTTGTACAGATAAATATAGAACCTGTGGCATTTTCAAAAGCCATTTGGAACAGCTCTTCAATACAGGCACTTTCAGCACAGATTAAATACATTATTTGGGTTTTCTGTCTAACAAAAAAACCCCCAACCCTTAAAAAAACTGGCAGAAATACCATTTTTGTCAAATGACAAAGTTCTCTTTACTCAAATTGGGGCTGGCAATTGACAGCTCTTTACAAAGACATTTTTTTTCCTTTCCTCTCTACCTTCCCCTACTCCTTGATTTCAAAATAACCTTCAAGACAAAAAAGCAGAACATAGCAATGCAAAAAAGAAATACAAACCTCTTAAATTTTTTTACTCCTGGAACAGAATGCTTTACATTTTGACTAATTTGTATCTGATAAAATGCTAACATATTCCTACACAAGAAATTAACACACTGCAGGAAACTGGACATACCCGTTCCTCAAGAAATTCACTATTCATAAGTCCGACCAAAGAAATTGAAACACAATACAAAGAAAGACCTTTATTAAAATCACTTGGAATATTATATGAAATTCAATATTGTATAATATAGGTGCAAACCCCCTGATATTAACAGGACGTGATACATGTGAAGAGAGGACATTAATATACATATAAATAGAAAAGCTAAAATGCGTTTGACAGTGATATATTAAATGGCTACATAAATGTGACCATAATTAGAGGAATATTTAATTTTGTGTTCAGCAGTATCTTCTAAAGAAGTATACATAGTAAATTGCTTTTACTGCTACTGTCTGCTTTCTTATGAGTAACGGGAGATGCATAGGAACATATTACAGGCACATGCAAAAGCAATGTAAAAGACATAAAAACAGAGGCAGAAGCCAGAGACTTATTTGTTCTTGGCTGCCAGAGGCTTACGGCTGATCTTCTTTGACTTGTCATTGTTCTTCTTTGGAGGTTCAGGATTCGCCTGCATGTGTCTACCATAAAGACTGTAAGGAAATGAGACAAAGAATATTTGTGATACAACCATTAAACACTAGTTTTTGCTCTGCAGCATGTTAAACAATGCATCTAGTAACTAGAAATTAAAAAAAAAAAAGGAAAGTAAGTATACTTATTTTGTCTCAACACTGAATTTTCTATTAGATCTGATGACGCAACCAATAATGTTAGGGCTTTTGTGACTTATCAGGAGGGCAACTTTGGGAAGAGCAGGCCTTTGGAGCAGTGAAGGAGCAATCAGTTTTGCCTTCAGAAACTAGCAACCTTTATTCTGCAGTTATGGGATTAAGGCTCAGAAGGCTGCAAGGATGTGTATTCAAGCCGACAATGACAAAAATTGGGTTGAACTGGAGAGATAGAGTGCCTGCTTAGAGCAAAGTGAGCATCATCCCTAACCAGAAAACCCAAGGGCTTGATAATGTGACAGAGAGCAATGGTGTCACAGCTGCCTTTGCTGCTCTCACATGATTGATAGTACTGGGACAGCTACCAACACATCAATGCCACATTAGTAAGTACCACTGATTAAATGTTGACAAAGTATCCTACAATTAAGATGGCTAGCATTCACAGAGAAGCTAAGTAGACTACATGGCTGAAAGGATCTTGCTAAATATCACATAGTAATTAATAGACAATTTATGAGTAATCCTGATTAAACTAAATTAAAAACCTACCCAAAATAAACACAGCTCAAACTTAACTTCCCTTATTGACATAAAGTGCTTTTTGAAGACATACTTCGTGGGGGTGTCACTGTATCTAAAAGGGAACAGAGACAAGCTTTGCTTCTACTCATTCAGCTGTATAAACACTGTCAATGTTGACACCGATACTCAAACTCCTCTGAAAGGTGTCCCCCTGCTAATGCTTCAGCCTGATGCTGGTGAATGTCTACCCCTATCTAGGGTGGATATTGACCAGAAGTGTACTAGGCTGTTGCCAGCAGAGTTGGACACAACTTTAAACATTTGATTGGAATTCTGCTGCCGAAGATGATAATGGCACCAGTTCCCACAACAGGCTTCCTTGTGTCGCTGCACCTCTACCTTTTGGGGGACTTTGTCAAGGATCAGGACAGATCAGGGGCTTGGGGTTGAGAAACTCAGACTCTTCCTAGAACTGCCTTTTGATGTGCCAAAATCTGGATGGGCAACTGTCAGCACTCTTGCCACAGAAGCTGGGACCCACATTTTCATGTGTCTGGGGCATGTAGAAGGTCCCAGCTGTTATAGGCAAGCTGCACTGGTCCATCACACACCTTCACATGCACTGTCTCCCACCAGAGTCCGTGTACGTAGCTTGCATGTTTGTCCAGCCCCTTGCTGCAAACTAGGACCATGTACAGATTCTTCTGCTACTTTTCCTCAGTCACGCTGGGACAGACGTAGTTATTCATGATATGCTGTTGCTTAGCCAGAAAGCATGACCTGACATACATTTCTATAGTGGGTATCACCCTCAGCAGGTATCTTGGAGATAAAGCGACTCTTTTTACAATGACTTCTTGTGCTTTGCAGGCTGAAACTAATTTCAGGAGGGGATGTGCCCTCCCTCTTCTACAAGGCCTGGAGGACTATGCAGTCAACTGTATGTAAGAGACACTGAACAAGGTTCCAAACAGATAGAAATACTCTTGAATTACTGTGCTATAAGGCATGGCCATACAGGGGCTCTTTATGTCAGATACAGAGAGATTTTAGTTAAGACATACATTGCTTTCTACAGCTTCCTGAGGAGGGGATGAGGAGAGGGAGGTGCTGAGCTCTTCTCGGTGACATCCAGTGATAGGACACGTGGGAATGGTTCGAAGCTACACCAGGGAGGTTTACACTGAGCACTAGGAAGCATTTCTTTACTGAGAAGGTGGTCAAACACTGGAACAGGCTCCCTACAGAGGTGGTCAATGCCCCAGGCCTGTCAGTGTTTGAGAGCCATTTGTACAATCCCTTAACAACATGCTTTAACTTGGTCAGCCCTGAATTGGTCAAGTGGTTGGACAAGATGATCACTGTAGATCCCTTCCTGAAACATTCAATTCATATTTGTATTATATCTATTATATTATAGTCTCATGTTATTATAATCCTATTTTATTCTTATTCTCATTTTATTCTATTTTATTCTGTGTGAGGAGGTTAAAAAGCTACCAATGGCTCTGAGATTTATTTTGCTGTATCTGGAAGATACCTCAACCCTGGAGCTACTGGACTGCAGAATGGGATTAGAGCTTCTTGTAGGATGGTTGAAGAGGCATCCCACGCTTTCACCTCCTCAAGCAGCTGCAGTTTTACATCATGCTGCTAAGCAGGCTCCTGTCAAGGTACACTGTATCCAGAACAGACTTCCTCAAGGAAAAACTGTAAACTGCGACATTACTTCACCTTACTATAAATTTATGTGTGCCATCACCTACTGTCAGCAAGGGATCAGATACCATTTTCTGATGAATACAGATATCCCTGACTCTCCGCAATAACTGCATGCTTAGTGTTAGCTACAGTATGCATATTTTTCTATCCATAAGAGATACAGCCCCAACAGCACAAGGCTATATATTATCCAAGTACACAGTATGCATAGTAATCAAATATCCACCCTAAATAACTGTCCTGCTTTGGATGGCATTAAGCAAGTTGAAGGAGGGAAGATATGGAAGGAGATGTTTTAATATCAGGAAATACTATCACTGTGTGTTGTGGCTCAAGTTCAGCCAGTAAGTAACTCAGGACCATGCAGCCATTTGCTCAGCCCCTTGCCATTTTCCTCGCTTTAGGCTGGATGGGGAGGAGAATCGAAAGAATGTAAATCTCCCAGGTTGAGATAAGCACAGTCCAATAACTGAAGTATAATATAAAACTACTATTCCTGCTACTACTAATAATGACAAGGGAAATAACAAGGGGAGAGAATACAACACTAAAAAGGGAAACGAAAAAAGAAACAATAAACAGCAGTGATGCACAATACAATCGCTAACCACCCACGACTGATACCCAGCCTGACCCGAGCAGTGATCTGGGCCTTCCAGGTAACTCCCCCCCATTTATATACTGGGCATGACGTACTGTGGTATGGAATTCCCCTTTGGCTAGTTTGGGTAAGGTGTCCTGTCTCTGCTTCCTCTTGGTTTCTTGTGCGTCTCCTCACTGGCAGAGCACGAGACTGAAAAGTCCTTGATCAGGGCAAACATTACTTAGCAACAACTAAAACACTGGTGTTTTCAGCATTGTTTGCAGAGTAAAGCCAAAACACAGCACTGCACCAGGTACTCGGGAGGAGAAAAATAACTGTTACAGCTGAACCCAGGACACTGTGGAAGAGCACAGAAGTGTCATTCAAGATGGCTGTCCCATCAGAAACTGATCCAAGGTAGAAAAAGTCAGCCTTGTTCTCACTGATATGCAGTACAGCATTTCAACCACTGTCGGCAATAATTTTCTAACTCTGAGAAGTCAGCAACAGAGAAGTGGAAATGCATGCTCAAATCTGTGAGCACCAACAGTTAAATACTAAATTAACATTCAAGTTGTTTTTTGGCTCTAGAGAAATAATGCTATGTTGGAATAGAACATGAGGGTTTTTTTTTCATGCAATAAGAAAGATCCCATTTGGGACTTTAAGCACTGAATTAACAGAGAATCTACTGATCCACTGTATCTGAGCACAAGAAGTCTTCGCAGATGGGAAAGGAAGGCCCCTGTCACTGTCCTGTCTCCCACCTCCTGCTGCCCCACAGCTCCTTTGCCCTGTTAGTGCCAACCCAGAGGACTGTAAGAGCTTTAGTGGCTTTTAGGTGTTACATACGTTTTTTTGCTCATGTTGGCTTAGGCTCCACTTTTTTGCTTTGGAAACTTAATCTGACTTTCCCTCTCAGATGGCACTTCTGGCATTCATTCTGCGCTCAGATTAGTGAACATCTCCTGAAGTAAAAGGGTGTGGTGAGAAGTCTGACTACACGGGTGCGTTTGAAGTGCAGAAACTGAATATTGACATTTTCAATGAACTTCAGTGAGTTCTGAGGAAGTCTCCTTGGGCAACACCTTTTGACTGCGAAATGAGGTCCAGTGGCCACTGCATGCATTAAGCAGTAAAAATCCCAACTGACCTGTACGTGTTTTTGGTAGCAGTTTTCCCTTGATACTTGCTCCTTATGGTACTTAGTGCTATTGGTACTCCAGGAACTACCTCCACCCCATGAAAATACTATGTTAGTAGCAGTAGATGTGCATGAGTTGCAGACATCTGCAGCACTTTTACATTGTTTTTAGTTATTCTTGTGTCCAACCACTTCTATCGGAATGTGCGCTTAAATTTCCTCCAGAAAAATAATTATTTGGTTTGAAACAAGCAAATCAAATATCCCTACTTAGGTTTCTCTGGCAAAATTTCAAGGAAGTTTCAGCTGCACATTGCCATCTCAACTGAAGATAAGTGCTTTATAGTCTATCACAGTAGTCTGCTACACAAAGAGCAAGGATCAGACGTATTTAGACTATACAAGCCTTCACAGACAGGAACTCTCTCTTGTGTTTGCACACATCAAATACGAGGAGACATATGGTGTCACAACAACATTTAAATACAATAATGACTGTGATAATGCCACTGGGACAGAATTTGCCTTCTGTTACTTTAGGGAAAATTGAATTCACAATTTTCAATGAACTTCTGGTACAACAACAGGCACCACTTTTATAGCTCCCAAGGGTAAAAAAAAACCTGGGAAAAAAAGCGTAAAGAAAAAAAACTAATGGAGCTGGTCCACATGGAGAAGCAACTACCTGAATTACATGAGAATCTACAACCCTTTGGCTGTAATAGATGTGGAATTTACATATACAGTCCTTAATGATTTTGATACCTACTGGAAGGACACAGACACCATAACTTGCATGTCACCGTCTGTCAGCCAAGCTGTACTAACTGTGTACACGTTCTTGCTCTGCATCACTGCGAGTCAAACATGTAAGGCAGAGACACTTGC